CACTGTTGCAGGTTTTCTTGCAACTGCTGTAATCTCTCTTCTTGTTTATTTTGTCGTTCTTCTTGTTTCTTTTCTTTTTCCTCCAACAACTGCTGTAATCTCTCTTCTTGTTTATTTTCTCGTTATTCTTGTTTATTTTCTTGTTCTTCTTGTTTCTTTTGCTGTTCTTGTATTGCTGCCATCAAATCTGCTAAGCTGTAGTTTGATTTGCCGCTTCTCGTTTCTATTTTTTTTTTTCCGTCCCACTCTCTGACACCAATTTGTTACACCTCCATTTGTTAGTTAATTTTCCGTAAATTTCGTTCCGACAAAACTTTAGCGACACAAGTCCTTTCTTAAATAAAACTGGTTTATTCTTTCTGAATACAACTTTGCAATACACTTAATTTCCATAGTCGAGCTATAACAAATGCTATAATTCACAACGAACGCCTCACGTGCTCGACTCAACAATATGTCTCTCTCTCTGCCTGCAGTTCAATTACACATTCATTACATTGTTGCTGTCATGTCTTGACCGTCTTATATATAAAAGAATGCCGAAGTCTAGTAACCTCCCAAGGATTCACGAAGCTTCAAGAATATGACGTGTTACTAGCGTCACGTGACCTCTGCAGTTCAATTACACATTCATTACATTGTTGCTGTCATGTCTTGACCGTCTTATATATAAAAGAATACTGAAGTCTAGTAACCTCCCGAGGATTCACGAAGCTTCAAGAATATGACGTGTTACTAGCGTCACGTGACCTCTGCTGTCGTAACAATTAGCTTTAAAAATGCATCTTCAGTCGTCTATGGATACACCCATCAAGTTACACCATTTTTAAAATTGCAGAATGTGCACAGTTTGGGATTGAAGTGGTAGTTTAAAATGTTATGTAGACATAAGTATATTTGAAGATTTAATTTTGAAATTTTCTAGATGATGTTATAAAGTAGAATATTTTTTCCTCAAGTATAAAGGGAGATCCAACTTCAATGATACTATTTTCAGTCTTAAAATGATGATATTAGTTTGCAGTTTATACACTTCTTTGATGGAACATTGAACATGTGTAGTTTTGGAGTCTGTGAAACTCATGATATAAAACCGTACATGGTTCCTAATTGATTTGATTATAGCAGTTTATATTATTTCATAGCAGTTTTATATGTTGTACTGTAAACTTTACTGTTCTTATGCATTTTTCACTTTTAAGATAGTGGTAATGAGGGCACACTAAACAAGTTAAAGAAATTTATCAGCATCTTGAGAAATCCAATAGTGATATATGTATTTGTATTTAACATTATTCAACATAAGTGTAATTAATGTTAAATTCAAGTTAACATGCAATACTAATAACTTGTATAACTAAACCTAACATTAATGTGATTTTATTGTAATAGAATTAAAGAAATTAAACTTGTTTTTGAATAATGTTCATTTATTTTTGAAGTGTTATTGTATATACAATTCATTTCTGAATTTAAGTTATAACATCTCATTTTATACTTGGTGAGAACAAGGTTTAACATTAAAGTGGATGTGACTCAAATGATTTATCATGTTGTTTTTGTTTAATTGTTACATTCAAAATTTAATTAAACCACTTTATTATCAATTTATTTTAATGTAATTAGCATTATCAAGTACATTATAATTCAAAGTTTTATATTATCTAAGTTTTATTGCTTTATTTCAAAAGAAACCTCTAAAAAATGCTTAAAACTTTAGTTTTATTGTCACATGACATGCTTGCAGTTAAAAATATCTTAACTTTCGTGCCTTCTGTTTCAATAAAACTGTCTACAGTGTATGAGTATATCTAGGCACAAACTTGTGTCTACAGAGCTGGTTTTGTATCACTTGTTTCAAATTCCATCCAGAGAATTTGCAGAACAAAAGCTCTATCTTTCCCTCTCGGACAGTAGCCACACACACCTTCTAAAGCAGAAAGGGAAATTCTAAGCAAGTTCTATATTTTGAAGGACATATTTATAACCAGTAGAAAGAGCTAATTTTAACATTCATTTTAAAACTAGTGTGTATTATTTTTTACAAGCTCATCAAATTGCTAAAGCATTGTTGTGGTTTCATTGTCGCCAACACTCGTTTATTTGATTTCTTGCCTTAAACATATTACTTTAATAGAATTAAGTTGTATTTAGGTTTTACTTTTATATTTTAGTTAATTATGATTTATTTGTGTTTTAAAATTCATAATTGAAAGGTTTAATGACTTTTTTTGGTATAACCCATACTTCACCTTGCTCCATATAAGTAAGCCAGACTATAAACATTTTGCTGGAGGCTAAAATATCTGTGTTGATGATACTGTTATATTGCTCGTGGGCTTTTATTGACTTGTATTGACATGTATTATCAACTGGTTCCAACTGTAGTTTAGAATAGCATGCTTTATAATCAGTGTATTTTACTTTTAACTTACATGCTGATTTCAATTGTAGCTTAGAATACTACACTTCGTAATCTGTGTGTTTTCCTTGTAATTTACCTACTGTAGGCTAGAACACCATTCTTTGTAATTGATCACCTGTTTCTGTACAGAAACCCTGCAAACATAAGACAAACTAAATGTATGTATGCCACTTATACACGTTAACATTAAAACATAAATTTTGAATAAGATAAATATTAATTGGGAGATATAGTATTGTTACACCTCTGTTCGTTAGTTAATTTTCCGTAAAAATTATTTCCGAAGAAACTTTAGCGATACAAGTCCTTTCTTAAATAAAACTGGTTTATTCTTTCTGAATACAACTTTGCAATACACTTAATTTTCACAGTCGCGCTATAACAAATGCTATAATTCACAACAAACGTCTCACGTGCTCGACTCAACAATACGTCTATCTGTCCGCAGTTCAATTACACATTACATTGTTGCCATCAGTTCTTACCGGTTTATATATACAAGACTACTGCATATCTAGTAGCCTCTCAAGACTTCAGGAAGGGACAGGATCCTTCTAGAAGTTCATGACATGTTACTAGCGTCACGTGACCCCCGCTGTCGTAACAGTATATTAATTCACAATGTTCTTTTTTAGACCATAACAGACATCTTTTCTATCATGTGAGAACATGCTGCAATAAGTATTTGAAAAATTTGGTCAAGTGAATATGTGGATTTGTAACCATGTACAAAACTTTAAAATAGTTTTAATACCCTTATAACAAAATTGTTTTTGTTTTTTTTCACATTTTCATAGGTCCAGGTGCTTTTTCAATTTTACTCAGTATCACATAAGGTACAAACATACAAAAACCATTATCTGGATTTCTCTAATCATGTTAAAAGTATTAAATAATACAGAAATGTGTGATTATTGTTAACTCTAGTAATGTATTTTGGATTGCAGAATGAAGGAAGATAAAATACAAGATTTAATAGTATTGTTTTTTATATATATTTTATTGATATACCAGTGAGATATTTTTCTGAAAGGTAATTTTTAGTGTTCATTATTTAAAAGATGTAAATTTTTATGATAACATTAGTAAATACTATAATGACATGTATTTAGGCATCACAAAAGATATATTTTGAGTGCTTACATTTTTGTGACTGATCATCTGGAATGTGTTTGCAAATGTAATATACGATCTTAACTATTTAATTCCTTGTTTCATTAAATGTTTATAGCTTTTCTGTTGTGCACCCAGCTGCAACTAGTATTCTTGGAAGAGTAGATTGTGTTATTTTTCTACTCAATTGTTGGTTATGAATGCTATTTAATTCCTTGTTTCATTAAATGTTTATAGCTTTTCTGTTGTGCACCCAGCTGCAACTAGTATTCTTGGAAGAGTAGATTGTGTTATTTTTCTACTCAATTGTTGGTTATGAATGCAGTATTTGAATTCTTAAGAAATCTGTCATTACAACCTCTTAAAATGATAGACTTGTTTCTTTACAGCTGGATACTAAAGAAAAATGTGTTCAGAAAATTTCTTCATTAAAAATTGAAAGTAATGATAACAAATTGTAAGAAAAGCATGCACTGTTAAAGTTTTAGCTGACATTTGTTCTCATTTCATTAAATCAAAGTTATACCACATTTATCCTTATTTTTGAAAACACCGTACTTAAGTTTATGAAAATGTATCAAAATATGTGTGTTTGATGAATAAGGATTGAGACTGTGATTTATTATATACCCCTTAAATATTTTTTGTGAATGCATATGCATAAGCACACACACCTTGTCCTATATAGTAATGAATATTAAAAGGTTTGAGAGTTCACAAAGGGAAGATAAGTTTTCTGATTCAAAAATACATATGATTTAACACGGAATGTACAAATTACAACTTTTAAAAGGGGCTTAAAAGAAAAGGTTATGTAATAAAAATAATAAAAAACTGATTTACATTTTTATTTATACTAGCAGTGTTAACTGTGTATATTATTTCATTGAACTCTCAATAAACCTGTGGACTTTCTATAGTAAATGGTTTGTGTTAGCCCATATCACTTCTAATGATTTACATTGAACTATTTGTTTGTTTGTTTGAAGTTTGCGCAAAGCTATATGAGGGCTATCTGCACCAGCTGTCCCTAATTTAGTAATGTAAAACTAGAGGGAAGGCAGCTAGTCATAACCACCCACTGCCAACTCTTGGGCTACTCTTTTACCAACGAATAGTGGGATTGACCATCACTTTATAATGCCCCCATGGCTAAAAGGATGAGCATGTTTGGTGTGACGGGGATTCGAACCCGCGACCCTCAGATTGCGAGTCGAGCGCCCTAACCACCCATGCCGGGTCCCACATTGAACTAGTGAAAATAATTTTATTTTCTAAGTGCGTGATATAAAATGTCAGTTTTTGTATAGAAGTAGTTGTATTAGAGCTATTTTAATGAATAATCCATTATTTGTCGCTTTTTAAACGTTTCCACATTCAAAACAAAACGTAGTTTGCCAAATATCATATTTTTTAAGTAAATGATCATGATTTAAAATTAGCTGTATTTTTTTTTTTTCAGCCATGTATTAGCAAGGTTCATTCTTCCAGAAAGCATTTTTGTTTGTCTGAGAAGAGAAAGAAACAATCAACTGCTAGCTACGAGAGACAGAAAATCAATCGTTGACCAGTGAATCAAGAACCATTAATTTAGACATACTCATTTTGGATATTAGTTTTGATTACTACAGTTCATGTGCTTGAAACAACAAAGACGTGACACTTTCAGAAAAACTTGTGACTGCATTTGATCAGTAGTTCCACAACACAGAAAAAGAGAACGAAAATGGATGTTCCTATGGAAGATCATCAAACTGAGAGTGAATCAAAAACTGACATTAAAGAATCTGAAAAATATCAGTGTGATTTAAGTGCAAACCTAGAAATATGTTATAAATGTAATATACCAACTGCAATAGACGAAATTGAGAAAAACTCTAGACATGCAGATAACACTGACTTTAATGTTCCCAGTCATGAAATTCATAAGAAAAATGATTCTCAAGACTTAAATATTGGTAATGAAGAAACAAGTACCAACTGTGCCAGTCAAGAATACATGTGCAAAAACAACAATATTGGTATTGATAAGCCTTACTTTTCTGGTTTTGAACAATCCAGGATCGAGACTGACTTGATGAAAAATTCTACCAGTGTCTCTAATGGAATTGGAAGTAATGGTGATGATCTCAAAGGTATAAAAATTGAAAATGCAAAAAATGTTTTTAAAGACATGACTTGTGGACCTGATATTAGTGGTGAAGCTTTATGTGAAGTTGCAACTAAAGAGAATTTGCTGTTTTTGGTTGAAAAAAACATGCAAAATAAAGCTTCAAAGAGCGAAGTCAAAAGTGAGGAAGAGACTTGCAGTGATTGTCCTGTCAACAACAAAAATATGATGAGAAATCTTCATATTGAAAATGCTCATGTGGACAACGGTATTGTTCATAATCACTTGCCTGGAGAATTAACAAATGAATATAATAAGAAAGAGGCAATTAACCATTATGCAGATTCTAGTGAATTAAAGCAAAATGATGTGTCAGTAAAGAATGTGAATTTTTCAACTGATTGTTCTCATGTGGAAAAAGGTAGGAAGATTGAACTGCCATCTCAAGAAATACAAAAGCCTATAGTGAATTTAGCAGAAGAAAGTGATAAAAATGTAAATAACATTGGTAGTTCCTCAAAAATTCAGCCTTTAACTTCTGCAATAATTCCAGTTTGTCAAAATAGTAGTTACTTAGAAAACAAACAAGAATGTAATTATACATTACAAAAAACGTTCCTTAAACAACCGTCACAGAAAGATAATGTGTTAGTAAGTCCTAAAAAGAATGATCAAAGCAATATTGAAGAAAAAGGCCTATCTACTGACATAAAGTTAAAAGTTAATGAAAATGTCCAGAAGCTAGTTCTAAGACCAGTGTCTGTGATCATAAAGAGATCAGCATACCTGGAGAACTACATTAAGGAAAACAAAATTAATAGCAGTACCAAGAATAATAAAAAAATAGATACTTATATGTTACTCAGTGATAATGAAAAAACATTATCAGTCAACAAGAAAACAAGTTTGGTTGATGAATCACAAGCAGAAAATCAGATTTTGAAGAGAGAAATTACTTATTCTTGTTCTGTGTGTTTCTTCACTACTACTGATGAGGGAAATTTTACACGTCACATAAGAGAACATCCTATCAACATGCTTACATCGTGGTGCAAAGAATGTCACAAAATGTTTAGAAATTTTAAAGGATTACTTCACCACATACATAGTAAATGTTCTGGATCATTTGGTAGAGTGATAAAATGTGGTGTTGCCTCTTGTAGTTTTGAAACCAAAAGCCCACAACAATTCTACCACCACAATAGATTTAAACATAGAGGAGCCTTAAAACTGAACTGCAGTACATGTGATAAGTTTTTCTCAACACCACAATGTTTGGTTCTCCATGTACAAGATGAATGCTTGAAAAATGTTGACAACCAACTTAAAAAAAAATATGAAACCCTGGAATATGTAGAAAAAAAACAAGACTCTGTGTCTAAAGTTATTAATGATTCTCCAGGTAAGTTAAATGTTACTGAGCAAATTTCAGATGAGATTGCAGATCTTGATACAAGTTGTCAAAAAGATACAAAAGGTCCTTTTTCAACTCTTGCAACTGACTCTAAAGATAATCCAGATGATCCTAAATGTCTCTCGGATTCTGATTCAAATAGCATGGGAGATAATGTTAAAGGGCAGACAAGTGAGAAAGAAAAAATAGCTGTGAAATCTTTGAATTCTTCTTCCCTAAAAAGTCGGAATATCATCCACACGTCACATTTACATTCTGAATGTCAATCTAAGTCCATTCCAACCACATTAGTGTTGAGTAAGTCTATAAAAGTTGAACAAACAGGCAATAGTAAGGGTTTTCCTATTATACAACCATCTGCATCAAAGGGTAACTCTCTCTTGAGTAGTGTACCTTCACTAGAAAAAGAACAAGACTTTGTGTCAAAAGATATTAATGATTCTCCAGGTAAGTTAAATGATACTGAGCAAATTTCAGACGAGATTGCAGATTCTGGTACAAATTGTCAAAAAGATACAAAAAGTCCTCCTTTAACTGTTGCAACTGATTCTGAAGATAATCCAGATGATCCTGAATGGATTCCTGAATGTTTCTTAGATTCTGATTCAAGTAGCATGGGAGATAATGTTAAAGGGCAGACAAGTGAGAAAGAAAAAATAGCTGTGAAATCTTTGAATTCTTCTTCTCTAAACAGTCAGAATATCATCCACACGTCACATTTACATTCTGAATGTCAATCTAAGTCCATTCCAACCACATTAGTGTTAAGTAAATCTACAAAAGTTGAACAAACAGGAAGTAGTGAGGATTCTCGTACTTTACAACCCTCTGCATCAAAGGGTAACTCTCTCTTGAGTCATTTACTTACTGTACCTCCATGTACAATGAATCTAGTGGTTCAAAATGGAACTACAAGTAAGCAGTTGCTTCATGTCCGTAGTGTAGCTTCTACATCTACTAGCATCATGAATAGCAATTTGACTAATATTTCAACAACTGTTAAATCTCCTCGGGTTTATCCAGATCATGATGGCCAATATGGTATCAAAAGTGCTGCTGTTTCACAGATGTCAACAGTTCAGAACTTAGTTGTCTTACCCCAATTAAGTAATACAGTTTTACTTCAAGCAAGAACATTTCCTCAACCCGAAAATCTTTTCATCTCCAGTCCTCAGAATTATATTAGTTCTTGTAGTCCGCAACTTGTATTTGTACCAACTTCAAATATCCTTCTGCCAGTTCCCACTTGTTCAATTTCAACAAGTACTAATTTAAAATATAATCTTGTACCCTCAACCACAAACCTTCAGTATCGACAAGTTCATTCAATATCGAAACCTCTATTTACTACAAATAAGCCTAGGAGAAATGTTTTAGACAAGGAAATGACACTTGGTGCTCATTCAAGCACAACTGAGGTAAGTGAAAATTTAAGTAAACGAATTATCTGTGAAAAAAATGAAACCCCCAAAAAACAGTTATGCAATAATTCACCAATTATCACTATAGATGATAATGAAAAAATATCAAGTAAATTGCCATGTCCAGAAGATAAAAGTAATGAGTCAAAGGAGTTAATTATTATTGTGGACAGTGATTCAGAAGACAAGCAGAGTGATGAAAAAATCAGAATATGTAAAGAACAACAGTTAAATCAGAAGACAAGCAACAGTTGCTCTGGAAATGTGATCATGAATAGAGATGATGATTTACAAAGTAATTGTGATTTGATGAAAAGAAATGATGATCCTGAAAACATAAGTGATAAAAACAAAATTCAAAACTCTCCATCTTTGGAAACATGTGAAAATAAAACAAATTTATCCGAAGATTTTGAGCATGGTGATTTGGTGATAGATTTAGACAGTGATTCAAAAGAGAACCATTTTAAGAAAAACTCTCCTCCTGAAGTTCCGTCTCTGGATATGCGGGTTGAAGAAGATAATGAACCTATAGTTTTGAAAACATTGTCCACCGAATTACAAAATCATCCAGTGTCTTCTCATTTAAGTTTATCACTAGATGTCGAAGAAGAAAATTTTGACTACCGTCCTTCTAAGTTATTTATGGATAAATCAAATCTTTCTTCTTCTGCTTTGAATGAAAAAGTAATTAATTTCAGTGATGGAGAAGATTACAAAACTCGTATCTCTGAAAGAACAACTCAGCTGAGAGAAAATGCTGAACATATTGTATCTACTATACTTGGTCTAAATGTTAAACAGTGTGTAAAAGAAATAAGTTCAAACTCAACAGAATCCACAAAAGGAACTAACCATTTGTCAGCAGATAAAACAAGACTGGAATTTAACAGTGAAAAAGGAGTGCAGATGGGAGTGTATGTAAATACAGATTGTAGAGAAAGACCACTAGAAAGAACACATGTGTCTTTGCCTTCTGATAAAGAAACATTTGTTAATACAGTTGCAAAGACACCACAGTCTAATAGCGTTTCTCTGCTGCCCTATCAGAAAACCTATGTTACGGAGACAAAAGCAGAAGGAAGTAAGAGTGTGCATGCTCATTTGGACAGCAGAAGTTTCATTGAATCACCAAAAACATTGGAAAATAAAAATCTTAAAATATCAACAGACTGTAATAACATTTTAACTGGCTCACATTCTAATTGTCAAGTGACAGAAAAAATTGATCTTGACAAGTTGTATAGTTCTGAACAGCCATCAGGGGTGGCTACAGTATGTAGCAGAAGAATTAGCAGCCAAGTTACACCACCAAAGAAAACTGCAGAGAAACTTTCAACTGCAGTGACTGCTGTATCAAGTAGTCCTACAACTCAGTTTATGAATCCTAAGTTTCCATGTGTAAAAAATTCATCAATTCTACAAAAAAATAATTTACTTCCAAGATTTTCTCCAAACCAAAAATTAACCATTGAAAAGGCTATTAATCAAAATGAAGTATGTGCAAAATATCCTACTTTAAATCAGCCTTCATACATTTTGCCAAAAATGCCCAAGGTTGATTCTAATTTTCCAACATTTTTAATATCTTCTTCACAAGCACCTGGCAACCATAACACAAATGGTAATAATATTTTAACTGGCTTACATTCTCAACTTAAGTTGCTTAGTTCCAAACAACCATCACAGGTTACCACAGTATGTAGCAGAAGAGTTAGCAGTCAAATTACATCACCACAGAAAACTGCAGAGAAAGTTTCACCTGCAATAACTGCTGTATCAGGTAGTTCCAGCAACTCTGTTTTTGAATCCTAAGTTTCCATGTGTAAAAAATTCATCAACTGGTCAAAAGAAAATTGTACTTCCAGGATTTTCTTCATGTCAAAAATCAAAAGTAAAAAAGGTTTTTAATCAGAATGAAGTACCTGCAACAAGTTCTATTGTAACTCAAAATGCATATATTGCACCAAAAATGCCCAAGGTTAATGTTAGTTTTCCAACATTTTTAATTTCTACACAAGTACCTGGCAAGCAACACACAAACAGTAATAACATTTCAACTGGCTTACATTCCACTAATCAGGTGACAGAAAAAAGTGAACTTTCTCAACTTGACAAGTTGCTTAGTTCCAAACAACCATCACAGGTTACCACAGTATGTAGCAGAAGGGTTAGCAACCAAATTATATCACCACAGAAAACTGCAGAGAAAGTTTCACCCGCAATAACTGCTGTATCAGGTAGTTCAGCAACTCTGTTTTTGAATCCTAAGTTTCCATGTGTAAAAATGTCATCAACTGGTCAAAAAAAAATTGTACTTCCAGAATTTTCTTCCTGCCAAAAATCAAAAGTAAAAAAGGTTTTTAATCAGAATGAAGTACCTGCAACAAGTTCTATTGCAACTCAAACTGCAAATGTTGCACCAAAAATACCAAAGGTTGATACTAGTTTTCCAACACTTTTAACACCTTCTTCACAGGTACCTGGCAAGCATCATACTGCATTGTGTCATAAACCATTGAAGAACAGTACTAGTGATTCAGTTCTTATACAAAATAGAAAAAGTATAGCTTCACGTCGTGAAATTCCGATAGCACCATGTCTACCTGCAACATCTCATGTTGGTCAGGTAGGAAATAGTCATGCATATGCTGACACAAGTTCTAAACATGTAACCAAGGTGATTGGTGATAAACATAAGCATTGGGAGAAATTTCTTTATTCGCTTAAACCAGCAGAAACAATTTATGAAATTTTAAAAGAAGAAAACAATGTTAAGTTTTTTAAATGCACAAATAGAAAATGTGTTTTTACAACTGATAACTCAACACAATATGAAGAACATCTAAAAATTCACAAGGACAAGATTTTGCCCTGTCCATATTGTTTTATAACTTTTAAAGCCACAAAGCTTACTGAGCATGTACTTAAGAAGCACTGGAAACTTCGCTATCAGTGTAATTACTGTTGGTATCGTGGGTGGGGAAAAGCACATGTAAGAACACATACCAGGAAAGCTCATCCAGAAAAGCCTTTAAAAATGTTGACTGGTGTTGTACTAGAGGGAGAAGATTCAGATGAAGACACACCTGATTACTCGGAAGTTACAAAACCTTACTTTTGTGCTCTTGGAACATGTGGATTTTCCACATTTGATCCGTCAGAGTTCAAAAAGCACTACAATACAACACACAAGACAGTTTCTATATTTCCATGTTACTACTGTAAAACTGAAGTGATATCCTTTGAAAGACTGTTAAAGCATTTGAAGTTTCATGGAATAAACAATTTTCAATGTACATTTTGTCTACATGGTACAGAAACTCAAGAAGAGATTCTAGATCATATGACATCTACACATCCTGATAAGCCTCTTCAGCTTTACGTGAGAGGTTCCATGATTTCTTCTGAAAAAAATACTTCTGTCCTTCCAACTTCCACTAATTCTTCTAAAGAACTAACTGTACCTGAATGTACAAGTATCCAACCTCAACTAGAACATTCCAATAAAAATTCTGAATTAGGATCACCCAGCAACTCTCACTTTCCTCTGCCTCATAGTAAAAATGAAGATATACATAAACGTGATTTTGTAATTCATGATCCCATATCACAAAGGAAAAAAGAAAAAAGTGCACTCCTTAAAAATATAACAACTGGCAATATGTTGGCCCACAACAAACATCTCCCAGTCTCGGAAACTGTCTCTCTGTCTGAAGTACAAATGAAGCAAAGCAATCCAGATAAACTGTTTTCTGATGAATTTCTTACAAATAAAGGTTTGAAAGAGGTTAAATTAACACCTTGTTCTTCATCTGAGAGTATCTTAAATGTCTTGAAGACTTCTAAGGGTCTTATGAATTGTTCTGAATGTAATGAGGAAGAAAGAGAAAAAAACCTCAATATAAAATCAATAGACAATGAATTTCAGAACTTAGAAAAGAAATCATTAACCTTTCAAAAAGAAAAGACAACTATGTTAGAAGAAGAATATGACAGACCTATGTTTCCAAAAGAGGGAAGAGAGAAAACAGAAAACAAAATGAACATTTTAAGAGAACCTAGAAAAATACAGCAATATCCTTCAAGGTCTTTAAATAATCAGGAAACTGTAAGTAATTCAGAAACATTTGATATAAAACCTCTTAAATCTTTGGCTGAAGAAGAAAGAGATACAACAGAACAGAAGCAAAACCAAAGTTATAAACTAAACCTTCATTCATGGTCACTAGATAGTTACAAAACCCTAAAACCATTTGGTAACATGGTTAGCACAGAAGTAGCATCTAAAAATGATGGAAAAGTGTTAGATTATCCATATAGGGAACAAGAAATTTTGCCAGATGATAATTTTTCAGGTAATAATGATAACAACAAAATATATATGTCTAGTTCAAGTATTCCACCTGAAAAAGGTGGAGAAACCACACTTGATGAATCTATAAATGTTGACTATAGTGATAGATGTAAAGATGAAAGTTCCATCTACCAACAACATGAAACATGTGATAAGTATGTTACTGAAAGTCATGGGAATATTATTAAACCAAAACATTCTGAGAACACTGTGTATGTGTGTACTCTATGCTCAGTCAAAATGTATAAACATAAGAGTATTGCACATCACCTTGAAACTGTTCATTGCACACATTATCGCAAATGTGAATACTGCAGTCTATCCGGGACTAGTTTAGTGACTTTAATCAAACACAGCCTTAAGTGCCACAAAGACAAAAACCCAAAAATTGTACTACTGTATCAAAAGATAAAACAAGAAAAAAGCAATGATTTGTTTGAAAAGGAAATAAAACCACCTGCTGATGCCACAAATAAAGGGGTGGTATCAAGTGAGGAGAAAATGGAAAGAGAACTGCCTGAAGTAAATGCAGAGAGAAGTGTTTGTGACAACTATAGTCATGCTTTAAAAAGAAAATTGGAAAGGCAAGATTTTAATTCTACACATGTTTCTAAAAATGCTAAGTCTGCAACTGAAGATAGCGAGTTCCAAAACATTGAATTAGGCAAGTTAGAAAAAGAAAATGAACAGCAATGCTATGAGACAAATATTTCTGAAAATGAAAGTAATATGACTATAAAGAGCAATTTTCAGAAAACATATCAAGAAGATGATGATGTCAGTGATGTAGGTAAGTTATTCTTTGCTGATAATACTTTATTTGAGGATCAACATCAAGATTTGTTTACTTGTCCTTTCTGTAATTATGTCAAGACATCTTTCTGTGTCCAAAAACTTCATATGTTTCAAGAACTAAACTACAGTAGACTGTTGTGCCTAGTATGTGGTATGCAGTGCTTCAACATTAAAGAAATAGAAGATCACTTTCAAAAACATCATCCTGATGAGAAACTTTCTTATCAACAAAAGTGTGATATTAATACTGAAAGGTTAGTTGAACTGTTTCTTATAAGCCAGAAAAAAATAGGAGAAAGTAAAGTCTTACCCTTAAGTCTTAAACAAACATTAATATCGTTAAAACAATGTTTTGAAAATTGCCATCATGAAAAGAAGCAAAAGTTACTACTATCATGTGAAAAGGCAATTGCAGCTTTGGAGGAAAGTCACTCTTTAAATGATGAAGTAAAAACAGAATTTCTATTTGATGAAAATGGAGGAGAAAAGTTGCCTAAAGTTGAGATTATGGAAGAAAGGACAGAAGAAATAAGTGATTTATGTTCATCTGTCTCTAAAGCTGATGCAACTGCTCCTAAAAGATTAGTTGATCCAATTACAAGCCAGTTTTCTTCTATTGCTAATCAAAAAGTGTTTTCAAACTCAGATTTAGATAAGTTTAAAAAAGAAAGTGTTCATCCAGTTGCTAAAAACAATTTTGAAAATAAAGATAAAAGTTCTTCAGTAAAAAGTGTTCAAAATATATCTGAAAATCTCTCAACTTTCAACACTGAGTGTAGTAGAACAAATGAAACTAAGCAAAGTGTTAACAGTGCAGGAAGAACTTTATCTATGCTGAAAAAGGCTCAAACAAAAAAATTTAAAGCAAAAGTTATTCTATTCACTTGCCCTTTCTGTGAGTATACCCAAACATCTTACCACTACCAGAAGCTTCACATATATCGAGAATTGAAGTATCGTAAGATGTTGTGCTTGGTTTGTAGAATGAAGTGCTTCAATATGAAGGAACTTAAAACTCATTTTCATAAACACCATCCTGACCATAAACTTCATTTTGAGCGACTATGTGATATTAATACTGAACAGTGGGTTGAAAATTTATTGAGAAACCAAAGCTTGTCCCAAAAACCTAACAACAGATTAAAATCTCAACTCACAAAAAGGATACAAGAATACAAATATGTTTGTGTTGTCTGTGGTGCTAAGCAACGTGGTACAACTGACTTACAAAGACATTTATTTCGTCACAAACAATATCGTCCTGTTAAATGCTGCCACTGTAATAAAAGATTCATATGTTCTACTGATGCTAAGCGGCATTCTGCGAAGCTTCATCCAGGTCAAGAACCACACTGTACAATAACCAGAATTGACAGCATTGAAGATTGGGTGAATGAAATCATTGGCAGTCAACAATCTTGTAATCAGCATGAAAATGAAGTAGAATGTGCAACGAATCTTGAAAAAAGAAATTCGGAGGGTGATGATGTTTTGGTTAAAAAGAGTATGCGAGTGAAAAATAATGTTTTTGCTTGTCAGTGGGAAAATTGTAAGTTTGTTACAGATGATAAAAAAAAGTTAAATTACCATCTGATGATTCATTTCTCCAAATCAAAATTTCCTTGCCTGTATTGTCGAGTATCTTTTAATTCAGAAGCAAAATTAAAAAGTCACTGTGAAATCAACCACTCTAAGAAATCATTAATATTCACCACTATAAACACTAAAAGCTCTATCAAAAAGAATAACATTAAACCTAAAAAATGTTTTAATAAATTTACTTGCCATTATTGTGGTCGCAGTGTTTACTCTAAGAAAGGCCTTAGAACTCATATTCTGTGGAAACATCGGAAAGAATTTGAGCAAGATGAGAATGCTGTTAGAGAAACAAATTATGATATTGCTGTAACTTCTCATTCACAGACATTTTCTCAGGAGGAGCCATTTGAGTGTGAATGGTGTGGGATTAGGCTTATTAAACTTCAAGAGATTTTGGAGCATATGAAGTCACACGATGATAAAATATCAAGATCCACAGTTTTGTCCACTCCTGTGAGTAATGTTTCTAGTGGCAACAATCAGAATTCAAGTAATCGTGCAGATGTAGAAGGTGTTGTTAAAGAAACTAATTCTCCCAAACTCTCTCTTTTTGACCAGGTTCAACATGAAATCCCTGGAATAAGCTATAGTGATATAAATCTGTTATCTGATGAGTTGCCTATAAAAAATATTGTTCTTAAAAGTGTAACGAGATGTGCGTATTGTAGAAAAAATGTGCCTTCTGATACCATCAAACAGCATTGTAGGAAGCAACACCCAAATTTGCCTGTTAAAATAATCAAGCATCGTCCAAAAGCAACCCCTGGATCTTCCAAATTTTTTAGAAATTCAAATGAGAATAGAACCATTGAAAACCTGAAAATAGAAAATAAAAAGATATTACTGAGCAATTCTGGTGAACATCTTTATCTGTGTGATAAAGAACCATACAGATGTGAATACTGTCCAGCTCAGTTTAGTTCTGTTAGAAATTTACATAAACATTGGCAGCAAAAACATCAAACAAAGTCAATGAATCATTCATCAAAAATTGTTCCACATGGTTTGACACAAGAACAAAGCACCATGTACAGTTCAGTTAGTAATATTCCAGAAAAGTTGCAGATAAAAAATTCAGCAAGAAAGTCATTTATACATCTTGTTGACTCCCAGCTGCAGAAAAATGCTCTGAATAGAATATCTGTAGGTCAACAAAGTAATGCTGTAGATAATGTTCATCCTAACATTTCTGAGTCCACTTCTTGTACAAAGAGAAGACTTTCACATGGAAGTGATAAATTTACATGTGACAGTTTATCAGAGTTTGGATTTTCTGTTTATGGAAAGAAACAAAAGCTTGATACCTCAAATATTAAAGTGAATATCCCATCATTAGGAGCCAAAATTCCTTATCAGTCAGTTTTACATTTATGCAACTTACAACCACGTGTTATATTGACAGACTTAAAATCTCAACTTTTTAACTTGGGAGTGTTTTAATAGTAGTTCTGTGATTCTGCTACATCCAAGTAGATAAAGAGCTTTAGTTTTTTTCTATTTACTTTGAGTATTTATCAGGGATTATATATTTTCTAGTGATCAGTTTAAAGCATTAATTAACACAGTGTGGTTACTTTGTTACATTGGTTAAAATAAAAATGTTATTTTATGAAATACTTGTTTGGTTAAAGAGTATATATGTTCAGGTATTAGAGTAAATAGTACATTAAGATACTGCTTTTCAAGATTTGTATATAATATTACATTGTAAAATGTTTTCAGTTGTACTGACCAGTAGTTGATGAAGTGCACTATATGCTGTCCTTTTGTCAGCTAAGTGATCAAAATATGTTTATTTATTTATGTACCTTTTTTTTCTATCGTTTTATTAGTATATATACTTCATTGTGTACAAAATGATTTTGCTAAAAAGATACTTAAAAACTGAAATAGCCAATGATTGAAGAAAGTTATATGCAATGTAAACTTTTAGTAAGTTGACTGCTATAGGCTGCAGCCATTGAGAACTCATAATTTGAGTGATGGAAGCTTTAGCTAGTGCATACCAAAAGGAAGTTGGTAGATGAATGTCTTGCCAATAAGTACTCAAGGTATATAGAATGGTACGATTTTAACTAATATTATTTTCGCTGGTTTGATACTGTTAATACAAAAACTAAATTGTATCTCAAAGCTAATTCAACTTATTCATAGTATTGTACATCAGTTGTAATCTAAGTTTTAACTATTGTTTGTTATTTGAAATCAGCATCATACCTGTTGTTTAAAAAGATCTTTTTCTCTTTGTGTCCATGTTAATTATCTTCAAGCTTCTAAATTTTATCAAATGTTTAGTGGCTTGTATAGCTTAAAAATGACCAGCATCCAACACATAGAAAGTAAAATAGTGCCTAGTTATACAGTTGAAGATCTCTATCAAGCAACAAATGTATAATAACTATATTTTCCTAGGATAGAAAAAAAAGTAAATTCCCAAACAGGTGAACAACAATGTACATCTTAAATTTTACTCTGGCTGTTTTCAAAAGTGATACTTATGGTATTTAGTAAAACTACTTTGTTTTAATATGGACTTCTGTGGTAATTTGGATATAAATAAGATTAGATACTTCCTGAATTTGTTTCAATTTCTCCTTAAATTTTTATCATACAAACTTTGCATATTACAGTTACATGTAGGCTACAAATTCTGAAGATGATTAAAAATAATTCACTGAATATAAGATTTTTGTTTATTTAATTTCAGTGAGAAGCATAATAAACACTATGTTTCTAGGTAGATGTTAAAAATTCGTATATATTTCAATTTTTATTACATTGTATTTAAACTTTTGTGCAATGACAGTAAAGGTGTTTTGTGGAAAAATTGTGTATGCAATAAGATTGTGTGATTTGTTTTTTTCTATCTGCTCTAGGACTAGTTTTACCTTCTAAGAAATGGGTAGTATTTTACAGACTGGGTTTTTAATACCATAAACTAAGTTGCAAGTGAAAATTAAAAACAAGAATACATATATTTTTCCAAGTCAATTAAGGGAGGGAGAATCAATCTCCGTTTTCAGTATATTACAAGAACTCTTGAATTTTAACTTTGCAAAAAATCTCTGAATCTGCTAGTTTCAACTTTGTACTGTGCAAATGGAGATGTTGTGTGTGAGGGGGATAATAAAAGTTTGATTACTTGCATTCTTTGCAATTCATAAATGATTTCACTATAATTTGATTCCAACAAAGTTTGCTCAACACTAGGTTTATTCATTTTGTTACATCTTTATGTAGAAAACATCCCTCTAAGAAATTTTCTTCACTTGGTTATGGATTGAAAATACTGTCTGGGAACCATCATATAACTGAGATAAAGAGGAACCACACTTTTTGTGCTTGATTTCATTTCAAAATCATAGAGGAAGTACAAGTTATTGTGTATATTCTTAAATATTATTTGAAGTTCAAAGCCCAATTTGTGGTAAAATTTGAAAATAAAAAAAAATTTAAAATTCCTTTTAGGAATTTTTTGTCAAAATTTCAATCAGTCACTTCTAGTTCCTGATGAATATTGTTTGACAAAAGCTTAACCATGCAATTTGTTTCCATTGCAGTAATTTATTTTGTTGTATTTTGAGAAAGGATACTACTTAGTCATCTTTTGCTTGAATAAGTATTTTCAAATGTAATATCACTACTTTAGATACTTGGTGTATATCAACTTTAGGTATCTCTGGGAGAAGGAATAACTGTTTTTTTTTGTAGAAAGTTTTAAGAGCATTTTGGTAAATGTACACTTCAAATGCATTTCAAAACTTATTTGTTAGGGCATTATTTGTTTTATTTTTTAGGATGTTAGTTTTTCATAATTTTGAATATATTTATTGGATAATCATAACTAAAAGTAGTTTTGAATTTTCAACAATTTGCTGTGGTTACAACTTCGTGATTTTGTGGTATTCCAAGATGCACTTGGGCAAAAGATAGTAGAATTTCAAGAGATGTGGAGGAAATATATTCACAGCTTGAATGAGAAACTTTACCAAAAAAACGTGACAACTGTTGCAATTTGAAACTATATACAAATTAGACTTTTAGAGAAAAATCACCTTTAAAAACAATGTTAGTAATTTATTTACTTGGCGACGTTTCGAGCAAACGCTCTTTTTCAAGCCAGAAACAAGCTTATCGGTTAATGGCAATTATAGAAACGCTTTGAAATGAAACAATACACGAAAACAGATTGTAACGCAAGATAGGACTACGGGAATTAAACAATATAATAAAACTGGTGATTAAAAAACAGTATTAAAGATTACAAGAAATATAAAACAACTTTACATAGCAAAGACAGAAATAACTTAAACATTTTAAGATAATAAAATAATGGTATTTAAAAAATTATGAAAAGCTGAACCGTTAGTTAATACCCAAAGGACTTAAACATCCCAATTTAAAACTTACTTCTTTTTCGATTAAGGTTCTTTTTTTGGTGTTGGAGGAGACATGATGTAAGGCAAGTAGTTTAAAGTGTTCAAGAGAATGATTAGCTTTGTTGAAATGCTGAGTTACAGGTTTATCTTGATCTTTAATCAAGATGCTACCTAAGTGTTCTCGTGTACGTTCAGCAAGCATTCAGCTGGTTTCTCCTTCGTAGATTTGGTTACAGTTGTTACAAGTAATACAATAAACTAAACATTTAGATGTACAGGTGAAATGGCTATTCACATAGTATGTCGATTTAGGGCCTCTGACAGATTTTCTATGATCAATGTAAAGACAAGTATTGCATCTGCTCCTCTGACAACTGTACATAACAATTTGAGTAGCAGATGATAGTTGTATGTTGTTCGGGAGTTTACCGTTGACGAGTAAATCTCTAATGCTAGTGTCTTCTTTATAAGAAATTACAGGTTGGTTAGGAAACGTGACCGATGGTATTGTTCGTGTTATGATGTGGACATTGTCAAACAATATACGTGTTATTTATGTGTCAAATGGGTGAAGCGTAAAGGGAGTGATGAATAGTGGAAGTAGGAGTGCGTTGGTTGAAGTGAAGTTGGACACCTGTAGTTGGAAGTTTTGAATTGTCTACGGTGTTGGTGTTATAATTACTGATATGATTTAAGCTAAGCAAATTCTGTAAAGCTAAATTTGGACGTTTATTATTAGAATGTAGATTATCTATATTGTGATTAAGAAGAGAAGTAGGATAGCCACATTTTTCGAAAAAGTGGAACATGTTGATAGATTTGCTATTATAATCTTGGTAGTTACTGCAGAGCTTACGCAATCTGGTGAGTTTTGATTTGGGAATGTGTCTCTTGACGTATTGGGGATGACTGGAGTAAAAATGTAAGTAACCATGTGTATCCGTCGGTTTATAATGTACAGACGTCGCGAGATTGCCATCATCGGTCACGGAAATATTTTGTCAAGAAATGAGATGGTTTGGTGAGAAACAGAAGACGTATATTGGAGTGATGGGTGATAGTATTGAACGAACTAAACAAAGAGATCGAGTTCATCATTATTGCATGTAGCTGTACCGAAAACATCATCAATACCTGTGTATTTCCGAAATATGCAATCTTCAATGTAACCAACAAAGAGGTTAGCGTAAGAGGGGCCCATGGCTACATTTTTCACTTGTTTATAAAATTTGGTGCAAAAAAAGGCATTTAACGATAAAACTAATTCAGCTAATCTAATCAGAATTTCAGTAGGTGGGCTTAGGGTATCCCTTCTGTCAAGGCAGTGTTTTAAGGCTTTGAGTCAATCTCTCATGTGGAATGGGGGTATACAACGACGTTATGTCAAGTGTGAATAAGATAATGTAATCTGATTTTGACTTAAAATTCGTAATTTTTTATAAGGTGTTATTGGTGTCTTGAATGTAAGTAGGGAGTTGATGAACTAAGGGGGTTAGGATGGAACCAAGGTAATTAGAGACAAGTTCAGTAGGATAGCTGCATGTTGAAACTATGGGTCTGTCAGGATAGTCTGGTTTATGTATCTTAGGTAGAATATAGAAAGCCTAGGATATTTAACAATTGAAATATTAACTTCTAATGGAAGTTCGTTGTTGTTTATCATTAGTTCTATAGTGGAACAGACAGTCTGTTGATATTCATCAAGAGGGTCGTTATCACAGATAGCATAGGACGATCGGTCTGATAGTTGTCCGTGAGCTTCCTGAAGATAGTTTTTCTTCCAAACAACTACTGCTTCTCCTTTGTCAGCTTGTTTAATTACAATGTCGTCGTGGGAACGCAAGTTATGTAAAGCTGTTTCTTCATTTTTAGTGAGGTTTCTAATAGATGTCGCAGTTGTGAAATCCAGTTTGTAAATTTTCTTTCAAAATTTCTCTACCTAGTAACCAAAAGGAAGAAATTTCCCAGGTGAGGGAATCCACATGTTGGTTTGTTTCTGTACTGAGAAAGAAATGACTAACTGTTGTTGGTAGGTGTTTCCTGTCTTGATAGAGCTGTAGTTGAAGTGTAGAAATGCACTTGGCTTGAAGACGTAAATGGCGAAAAAAATGTTTGACATGGTGTTTTGTATTGAACTTATTTACATGTTTCTTAATGTGGACAAAATTTAGGCCTTTCTTTAGAATAGCGATCTCACTTTCCGTTAGGTGTAGATCCTGGGATATTTTGACAACAGAAGTAATTGGTGTGTTCGCTGTTAGATCGTCATGGCTATTGTATTGCGATAATCTTATGTTTGGGGGAAGATAAGAATCTCGCATCTTATACACAGAGTTAAGATTTGCGAGTTTCTTGAATTTTAAATTCCTCATTCAGTTGTAATATGGAAAATTCAATTCGCGAACTTTATCATGAACGTTATGTGCAATATCTTGATCTGCAGATTTGTATAATCGACGACACTGATAGCACAGTTGAAATGAAATAAAATTCTCTTTTGGAACAAAATGTTATTAATGTATCACGCAACAAACCAATAGAATATATCGTCAGGCTATTCTCTATCATAGTTTTATCTTGTGGAGACAGTAATTGAAGAAGGGATTAACCTTAAATATGAACAAATACGGAGAAAAGATATGTGGTTTTTGACAAGTAGCCTTGAAGGGGAGGAAACCAAAAGGAAACATTTGAGTTAGGTAGTGATGAAAGTAGTTTATCATTTCGTTACAAAGGCTGTTGTACGTTCTCTTAGAAAGAGGAATAGTATTTAAATGTTCGCGTAAGAATTCAGCGAATAAATAAGTAGAAAAATGCGAAGGTGATAAAATAAAGAAATTAGACTTTTAGAGAAAAATGGCCTTTAAAAACTATGGTAGTGATTTATTTACTTGGCGTTGTTTCGAGAAAACTATATTTTTCAACTCAGAAACAAGCCTATCGGTTAATGACAA